CTACTGCTAATCGTAGGTGATACGATAGCGGAGGCGACGCATAATCTTTGGGGTGCGATCGAAGGGTGCAAACCAGGCTGGGTGCAAACGCATAGCTTCTCATCGTGACGTCAGGCACGCTGGCGCCAAAGCCGCAGCTAACGTTAGGCCAGAATCGACACCTGCCAAGCGCCACAGCAGGAGTACTACGGAGTTAAACTGTCGCCACGCTCAGCGTACGCCACGAGAGGAGGGTGGAAATAGTTTAATCACCCAGTTGTACAGTTTGACATGGCTGCCTGAGGCGGAATGTTGAATACAAGTATGGCGGCTCTATTTGTGCAAACGAGTAACATTCAACGCGCGTGCATGACGCCAGTAGGAGATTCGTAAGTTCTGCTACCAACAACACCAATCCTATTCTGGCACGACTTTGAAATGCACCAACACCGCCACATCAGGGTATCTTTGGAGAATTCAACCCAGGCGCAAAATAGCGAGTGCTTTAACCCTCCCCTAAATTCGACGGAAGTCGCTCTTGGCTACCCCGCCTATGGAGAGGAAGCGCTTATGATAACCGTACTGAATATGTGGAGTGTGCCGTGTCGGTGGAAATCAAGGGTACTTTGTGCACAAGAACCCGTTGCAACTTGCTTCCTAGCACGGTCCTTCGAGGATGTGAAAAATGTGATGACTCGTTACATAGGGCATGAACACTCGCCGTATCGTCCCCGCACAAGTACCTTCGAGAATTTAGGTCTCATGTCGCTCTTTCGACGGTCCTGAATGCCTCGGTCGATCTTGGCGTCAAGGTCTCCGTCCCCCAACCTTGTGCCAAGCAAGCAAGCAACTTTTCCTTTGATTAGGTGCTCTTTTCGAAATAATGCACCTAGTTCGTTGAAGACGCACCTAGTCTTGTTAAGTGCACCTGCATTGCCAATTTTGGAACCATGGAGACCAAGATCAACACCGTCGCCCGCAACGACCTCGCGTTGGCTTGCGACCTCGACCAGCCAACGCGGTCCAAGCGGCAGCGCAAGCGCTACATCGACGAGATCACCGAGCTGCGCGCCAAGGTCGCCGACTACTCGGAGCAGCTGGCCGCCTTGACGCAGCGCCAAGAGATCGACATCATCTGCGCGACGCCATGGGAGGGCATCTCGCGGCGACAGGCTGTCGAGCGCAGCGTGGCCGAGCAGGACAATGCGCGCTTGAAAGACGCTGTCCAGGAGCAGCTCACGACAATTCAAACGCTCCTGCGCATCGTACAGAAGCGGCCAAAGCTCATGGACGTCTC